GAATAAACTACCAGGGAACGATCTCACCTCTTAAGAGGTGAACTTTACACTTAAAAAATGGGATGAGGTGGGATTCCCTCCTCCTAAAAATGTTTCAAGAGCTACTAAAAAATTTGCATTTACAAAATAGTTGATAAAAATATTCCTCTGGATTGTTCAAGAAGGGAGACATCACTGATAAGACATGGTAGATGATATTCAGACTTGGCTTTTTTTTCTCTCCTGCTACCCCAAGAGGGTGGATTCTCGGTTTTCGTTTCTCCGTTTTCTTCAGGTAACTCTTTATTTTCTTGGTTAGCCCTTCAGCCTGTTTTCCCTTTGCTCCCCTTTTCCCTTTTGCTGGCACTTTTTTGTCTGAAGACTTATCCTTTACTGTCGCCTTTTTTTGCCTTCGCCTCCACTTTTGCAGGAGCAGGTTTATCCGACAACTGCCGGTCTCCTCTTGGGTCCCTCCTTCGCCCCCTCGGCGGAGCTGACCTTCTCGGAAGGGCATCTTGGCGGCGCAGCAGGATGTCTGCGGGCCGCGGTGCCTAGAGCCTTTGGGAAGCTGGACTGCCTGGCCACTGCCACTGCTCCTGCTCCTGTCCTTTCTTGAGTACTATCTGGCCTACCCGGTGCTTAGGAGAATCATCAGACACGCTTAAACACACACGTCCTAGCTGTTGCTCAGCCTGGCACATACTAGAGTTGTCTGTGTGGGAAGCAGCGCCATCTGCCCTTGTAACCTGTAATCTGTAGGTGGGAGAGTGAGATGGCAGCCGTTGTTCGTTTTGCTCTCTGCTAATATATGTGTGACCTTTCCTGGACCAGTATAATCTGTGTTTAAGGACAATGGTAAGGTGAATTTTTTATATTTACACAATCTGTGCGTATTTTAGGTTAGCATTCAAATAGACACTTCAAATTTGAAGCTTCATCTTTTAATTTTATAAAATACAACATACCTTGAACCTATTTCATAGATCAGTGACCTCAAGAAACTCCTTATGAGTGGCTCCTTCTCCACTCACCTGAAGACCTTCTGCACAGCATGTTTCAATATTAAAATTATCATACTCCAATTCCCTGCAAGGCACTACTGACCAAATATAAATAACCTAGGGGTTTTCTGGGCATATTTCACCATAGTTACCTACTCAACTAAACAATTTGAGTGATATTTAAACCATATAATAATCCTTAATATGATATTGGTTATTGAAAAATGTTAGCCAGGCATGGTGGCTCATGCCTGTAATCTCAGCACTTTGGGAGGCGGAGGCGAGAAGATTGCCTGAGCTCAAGGGTTCGAGACCAGCCTGGGCAACTTGATGAGACCTCGTCTCTAAAATAAATAAATAAAATTAGTCAGGCCTGATAACACATGTCTGTAGTTCCAACTACTTGGAAAGCTGAGGTGGAAGGGTCGCCTGAACCCAGCAAGTCGAGTCTACAGTGCCACTGCATTCCAGCCTGGGTAGAGTGAGACTCTGACTCAAGAAAAAATAAGAAAAATGTTGGTTAATATTTGAGCAAGCAAGCTTTGCATTAAAGTGTAACTTTAAGTCTTTTACAACTGAACTTTTCCAACCTGAAGTGCCTATAAACTTGAACAAACTTAAGGAATTAAGCCAATTTGTGTGTGTGTATTTATATATGTGTGTGTATATAGATATAGATGTGCAACCATCATAATTACTTCTATCATTACTACCTGTCTTTGTAAAATATTTGCTTTAAGAGGGTAGACTTCTCTTATACAACAAGAACATTGTTATGCACTACCCAGTCAATTGTTTGACCAAATGATTGTGTTAGTATATCTATGAAAATAATTTTACATAAATTAGGACACATACTTGAAGGATCTACTCTAAAAATTACAGGGCGTAGTTTTTTTTATTCCACATTCAGCAAATGATGGATTAAACAACAACAACAACAACAACTAGTTTTAGGCAAACAGGATAGAATGACTGTGGTCCCAGGTACTCAGGAGGTCGGGAGGTTCACTTCAGCCCATGAGTTCAAGGCCAGCCTGGGCAAACATAGGAAGACCCTGTCTCAAAAAAACCTGGTTTTGCTTAGATAATAATACATCATTGGTTGATTGTTTCAAAGTTACCAATATTTTATAACATCTTAGTAAAGGTGTATTAAATTTAGTAATTTATAACAATTTAGAATTAAACAATCATAATAATAGCAAATTGGCATTCTCCTGGGGACAAAATAAATTTTAATGGGCTTCATACTCTTAAAAGATTTTACCTGAAATTTTTGGGAGAGGTTTCCTAAATCACAAAAAAAGTTGTGATAAAAAGGCTGATATTGGCATAAGGGATAAAGAGAAAGTAAAATAGAAGTGAGTTATTTTTAAAAGACTAACATCAGTGTGTTCTTTTGACGTGTAATATATGTCTTTAGATTTTTATCAGATTTGTGATAAAGTTGCACAAGTATAAAATAATAGTGAAAGTGTATATCAGGAAATTTACTGCAACATTGTTTATAATTGTAAAAAACCTGAATAACTGTCATTATGGGACCAGCTTAATAAATTATGTCCAGATACAAAATAATACAATATAGCTGTTTAAAAAAAAATGAGATGATTCTGTTTGCAAGGTTATGGAATTACTAAAATTTGCTAAGTAAAAAAAGCAAACTGCCCAAATGTACATAGTTTGCTACTATTGTATATGTGGACTAAAACTATATAGATACATGTTTTAATATGCATAAAGTTTCTTAGGAAGGATGCCAGAAACTTGTTGCCTTGCAACAGCGATGAGAAAGACTTCACATTTTACTGTGCATGATTCTGTGCCTTTTGAAATATGTTATATGTAGGCGTTTCCTATTAAAAAATCAATAGCGGGCTCAGTGGCTCAGCCTGTAATCCCACGCCTTTGGGAGGCTGAGGTGAGTGAATTGCCTGAGCCCATGGGTTCGAGACCCCCCTGGGCAACTTGGCGAGACCTCATCTCTACAATAAATCAAAAATTAGCTGGACGTGGTAGTGTGTGTCTGTAGTTCCAGCTACTTAGAAGGCTGAGGCGGAAGGATCGCCGGAGCCCAGCAGGTCGAGGCTGCGGTGGCTGGGAGCGGCCACTGCACTCCAGTCTGGGCGACAGAGTGAGACTCCAACTCAAAAAAAAAAAAAAAAAAAAAATCAATAGTAAAAAATATTCACCTCTTGTTAGTATGTGACGAAGGTGTTGCTTAACACTCCTGCTTTGATCTTCCTGTGCCTTGCAACCCCCCTGTAATCTTGTAGACTAGCCCACCACCATCAAGTCTTTTTTAAAAAATACATGGCATACATTAATCTTCGAGCAAAACATTCTTTGCTTTATGCAGTACAAAATATTGTGCAAATAGTCATTTGCTTTTTGAAGGGTTTTTTTTTTTTAACATAACCCATTTTTCTAGCATTTTTGTGAACTCAAGATTGGTGACGATTTGGTAACATTCGCTATGTCAAAAATAGCTTCTGATCGAGTTAAACTAGTCACTCTCAGAAGATAGTTTTTGTTTGTTTGTTTGAGTTTGAGTCTCGCTCTGTCACCCCAACTGGAGTACAGTGACACATTCCTGGCCACCGCAGCCTCGATCTGCTGGGCTCTGGTGATCCTTCCACTTCAACCTTCCAAATAGCCTGAACTGCAAGCACTTGCTACTACGCCCAGCTAATTTTTGATTTATTGTAGAGATGAGGTTTTGTCAAGTTGCCCGGGTGGGTCTCGAACCCCTGGGCTCAGGCAATCCACTTGCCTCGGCCTCCCAAAGTGCTGGGATTACAGGCTGAGCCACCAAGCCCAGCCAGGAGATAGTTTTGACTGGTGTTTTTTGAAAAATATTACATAAGGATGTTGTTAAAGTTTTTATTTGTTGCAAATATATTTCTAGTTTGTTTGCCTTTAAAAGTTAGTTAATACTGTGTAGAAGTTTAAACATACTGGGGGTGCCAAAAATGTATACACATTCTAAGCAATGTTATCTATGTATTACTTGTAGTTCACTGCAATCAGAAGTGTCTGGACGCTGATGTTAACCACTTTGAGCACCTCTTGTAATTGCAGAAGTCAAACGTGACTTGTACTCATCTTCTGTTATTGGTATATATTGAGTATTACAATTTTGTTTTGTTCTTTCTTAAAATGTGTATACATTTTTTTGGGTACCCTTTGTATATGTAATCAGTTGATGTGTTTTCTTCCATGCTTTTAAAACTTAATAATCACTTAGTAATTTAGTCTTTTTTGTACCTAATGTTATAATTTGGCTTTTTATATTTTATGACTTATTCATCACATGGCACAAGATTTATAGAATGGCAGTTTCACTATGGGTTTATGATATGATCCTTAGCACTAGGGCTTCCTTGTCCTGGTGTGTTGTTACTTTATCCAGAGATGAGCAGTTCTAGGAATCTGTCACTAGCCAAACTCAACAAGACTGAGTTATAAATTAGAGTCTTAGGATAACCAGTATTTGAGGGAGTTAGGGGAGATTCTAGTTGTTAAGTCTATGTAAGAACACACATTTTAGATCAAAAAGTTGCTTGACACACTCTTAGAACAATGGGAATTATGTGAATAGTTACGTCAAGGTAGGGAAATTAGGTAGATTATTTTCTATCTTAGAAAGATTTTTGGTATATATAAAATTTTATGAATAATGAAGTAGATTACTACACATCCCACATAGTACCAAAGGCAGAGGAACAAACTAATTACTTTCTGTACTTTGTTCACTTTTTTCTCTTTTAAGAAGAAATATGACTTTGTACATTTCAGAAACCTGAATTCTCCAATTTCCAGATCCTTTCAGGATAATCACTCGGGTATACTGCAGTGGGGGAAAGGAGACAACCAAACTATTATAAAGCCTTTAACAAATCAGTATGTCTGGCAAATATTTGAACTTCCATAAGTTATATTGACGATTTAGCAGGAAATCAGTTCATTTTAGTTCATATTTATTGTCAGTCTCAATTCTTCTATCTTATATTTCAGGGAGGAAACAATGCTGGCCATACAGTTGTTGTAGATTCTGTGGAATATGATTTTCATCTTTTACCCAGTGGAATAATTAATCCAAATGTTACTGCATTCATTGGTAAGTATATAAACTACCTAGAGATTTTTCCTCCCTAGTTGATAATCGTATAAAAGCTGTTTTCATCTCTAACCAATGGTTCATTGACCCCTTATTAATTTTGGCCTTGATTACTTTTGGAATATACCTAACTTTGGCTATTTGTAATTTTTTTTTTGAGTTGGAATCTCATTTTGTCACCCAAGCTAGAGTGCAGTGGCACACTCAGCAGCCACCACAGCCTCAACCCACCGGGCTCAAGTGATCCTCCACTTCAGCCTTCCAAGTAACTGGAACTACAGGCATGTGCTACCACATCCGCCTGATTTTTTTGATTTATTGTAGAGACGAGGTCTTGCCATGTTGCTCAGGCTGATTTCGAATCTGTGAGCTCAGGAAATCCTCTCATCTCCACCTCCCAAAGTGCTGACGTTACAGGTGTGAGCCACCATGCCCAACTTGTAACTTTTTTTTTTTTTTTTAGTTAGAGTCTCACTCTGTCACCCAGACTGGAGTGCAGTGACCACTCCCAGCTGCCGCAGCCTCAACCTGCTGGGCTCCGGCGATCCTTCCGCCTCAGCCTTCCAAGTAGCTGGAACTACCACGTCCGGCTTTTTTTTTTTAATTTATTTATTGTAGAGATGAGGTCTCGCCAAGTTGCCCAGGCGGGTCTTGAACCCGCGGGCTCAGGCAATCCACTCACCTCAGCCTCCCAAAGGCGCGGGATTACAGGCTGAGCCACCGAGCCTGGCTTGTAACTATTTTTTTTTTAGAAGTTCTAGCAGTCATACTTTTTGGAATGATTACTTTGCATTCATCTGTAATTATTGACAATCTTAACTCTATAAAGAGGTTATTAGATCATCAAATCAGTTTTCCAAATACTTATAGCTATGACTCACCGTAAGAAATACAAGAAGTTGATTCTGAACCCTTATAACATCTGATACAATCTGATTTTTTTTTGAGTCGGAGTCTCACTCTGTCACCCAGACTGGAGGGCAGTGGCACATTCATGGCCTCTGCAGTTTCAACCTGCTGGGCTCACACAATTATTCTACCTCAGCCCTCCGAATAGCTAGAACCATCGGCCCACACCACCATGTCCAGATAGTTTTTTGCCTCACTGTAGACGTGGGGTTTCACCAAATTGCCCAGGCTGGTCTCGAACCCCTGGGCTCTCGCCTCTGCCTCCCAAAGTACTGGGATTACAGGTGTATGCCACCACGCCCAGCCAATCTGATATTTTCTATTCTACTTTTTAATTTTAAAACATGCTAATCATAGCTCACTAAATTGATTTTATGACCACTTGTGGGGTGTGATTTCCATTTGAAAGACGTTGAACTAGATGGAGTCTACTGTGACCAGGTTTCATTTGCCTAAAACTATATAACTCGTTTCTTTCAAAATAATATGTTTTACTTTGCTTCAAGGAAACTTCAAATTATGTTGAATGTAATTTTGTTTTATATTCTCTGTATTCTATTATATATTTAGCATATATATTATTTTACTATTTAAAGTTTGGAATCATTTCTTAGATGACTTTCTGATAAATCAGCATGTCCTGTAAATTATATATGTCTACATTATAATTATAGTGTTTAATGTTGGGATTTGTTTGTCTTCCTTTAGGAAATGGTGTGGTAATTCATCTACCTGGATTGTTTGAAGAAGCAGAGAAAAATGTTCAAAAAGGAAAAGGTATGAAAGAATGAGTCTGCCTGGTAACCAGTCATTTTTTGTAAAGTTTTATTAGGACCTCATGCCAGATAAACTTAACATTTTTGTCTTATACTTTAGAATTTCAATTTATTATAGCACAAATTTTTAATATTAGTTATTAAATTTTATTTGTTATAATCGGTATGTCAAACAAAAGACAAACATAATATCATTGTGCGAATCCTAATTTTTTGTGCATTGGTCATCTGCAAATTTTAGGTAGCTGGAATTACTATATGTTGGTGGCAAAACTCAAGGAAATTCATGAGTTTCAGAGTTACACACTGTATGTCTTTTTTCCTGGAGGATGTGGTGTTCCCTTTTAGTTGCTACAACCCAGGGGCAAAAGGGGTTGTTTAGGTTTCTTTTTCTAAATGAGAGAAATTCTGCTTTTATGCAATATATCCATTTCTATGTCCTTAAAATAAATGTCTTGGATTTTTAGAGGTCTGTTTACATCCAGCTAGACTACCTTGTTAGGGTATGAGAAGAATTTGTTAGTATTAATTCTGATTGCGGCTGGTGCAGTGGCTTACACCGGTATCCCAGCACTTTGGGAGGCTAAGGCAGGAGAATTGCTTGAGCCCAGAAGTTGGAGACCAGCCTAGGCAACATAGCAAGACTTTGTATCTTCTAAAAATGCAAAAAAATTAACCAAGTGTGGTGGTTTGCACCTGTAGTCCCAGCTACTGAGAAGGCTGAGGTGTGGGAGGATCTCCTGAGTCATGGAGGTTGAAGCTGTGGTGAGCTAGGATTATGCCACTGCACGCTACAAAAAGAAGTTAAACATCCCTCATTCAAAAATCCAAATGCTCCAAAATCTGAAACTTTTGAACACCAACATGATGCCACAAATGGAAAATTCCACACCTGCCTTTATGCAGTGAATTGTAGTAAAAACACAGGAGGACAACACAGTTTTTTCAGCATTTACAAGGGAAAAAGACTCTCTCAGCCCCTTTCAACTGCGGTATGTGTTTTCCACACACACCCTAATTTCCCCACACAAGCATGCCTGCAAAGGTTAATAAAATAGCACATGTGCAGGCTGAGCATGACAATGGCAGTAATAAATAAAAATACAGTGTACCTTTAACTCAAAACTCAGCCTGTAGGTGAAGACTGACAGCCAGCCATTGTTTGTTGTTACTGTTGTTTAACAGCTGATAAGCAGGGCCTGTAATCCCATGCCTTTGGGAGGCTGAGGTGAGTGGATTGCCTGAGCCCGGGTTCAGGACCCGCCTGGGCAACTAGGCGAGACCTCATCTCTACAATAAATCAAAAATTAGCTGGGTGTGGTAGCGTACGCCTGTAGTTCCAGCTACTTGGAAGGCTGAAGCGGAAGAATCGCCAGAGCCCAGCAGGTCGAGGCTGCGGTGGCTGGGAGCGGCCACTGCTCTCCAGTCTGGGTGACAGAGTGAGACTCCAACTCAAAGAAAAAACCAAATAGCTGATACAGGAATGCTAGTGATGCCACTGTGCTGCTTAGTTACCCTGAACACATAATTTTTCACTGTATTAATGGCTTGTCATATTTTTTACCGTTAAGTTCTTGTGAATAAGTAAGAAAATGATTGTTTTTTGGCATCATATAAATTCAGAGTCAGGAGTGATGGTGATGCCAAACAGCCACAGACTGTGCACGAGTGGCTAAGATAGTGACATTTTTATTTTCTGATGGTTCAATGTACACAAACTTTGTTTCGTGCACAAAATTATTAAATATATTGTATAAAATTACCTTCAGTCTGTGTGCGTAAGTTGTATATGAAACATAAGTGAATTTCATGTTTAGACTGGGTCCTATCCACAAGAGATCTCAATATGTGAAGAATATTTGCATATGCAAATATATACAAATATTCTAAAATTCAAATACATCCCAAGCATTTTGGATAAAGGATACTCAAATTTGTAATACACAATTGAGGAAAATCATTAGTATAGTTTCTTAGATTTGCTCGAATTTGAAATATTCAATTATATTACTGTTAAAGTTTATTGTTCAAGTGTAAAAGTAGCAACCTGTTCTCAAGTGTTTCTAACAACTAAATCTGACTTGACAGAACCCTGTCTTTGCTGCCATCTCTGTTGTCCTCCCTGTGTTTTTACCTATGCCCTAGTGTCTGTTTTTTTAACTTGGGCAACTTGAGGTTCCTTTGCTGTGGTTGGCTCTCCTTCATCTTCTTTGATAATTTACCCTTACTCCCTTTTCCCTTCTGACCCATTTGACCCTACTAAATCCACTTTCCACTTTACTGAATTACTCGAAATATTTTCTGGTTTTCTTTTTCATTTTCTTTTTGTTTTGTTGTTTGATTTTTGAGTCGAGGTTTTACTTTGCCACCCAGGCTGGAGTGCCACTCTGCCACCCAGGCTGGTGTGCGCACCACGACCTTGATGTCTTGAGCTCAGGTGATTCTTCTGCAAGCGTGCACCATTACACCTGAATATTTTCTTTATAATGTTCCCTAAGCTAATTTTAGAATGTATATTTATTGTATTGTATTGTAGAGACAAGGTCTTGCTATGTTGCCCAGCCTGTTCTCAAACTCCTGGGCTCAAGCAGTCTTTTTGCCTCAGCCTCCCAAAGGCACGGGATTACAGGCGTGAGCCACTGTGCCAGTCAGAATACATATTTATATGTCAAAATAACTGTAGATGGGAAAGCTTAATATTTCAGGTTTACCTTTTAGCATATTATCTTTAGTATATTACCAAAGAAGTTCTCCACCTTAACTATAAGGAATAAATTTTTAAAACAAGTCTTTGGATATTATTAAAGGTAGCAACAAAAAAAAATTTTTTTTTTTTGAGTCAGTCTCGCTTTGTTGCCCCAGACTGGAGTACAGGGGCATGTTCACGGCCACCACAGCCTCGACCTGCTGGGCTCAGGTGATCCTTTCCCCTCAGCCTTCCAAGTAGCCGGGAACACAGATATGCGCTGCCATGCCCAGCTAATTTTTAAATTTATTATGGAGACGAGGTCTCACCATGTTGCCCGGGCTGGTCTTGAATCCATGGGCTCAGGCAGTCCTCTTGACTCAGCCTCCTAAAGTGCTGGGATTACAGGAATGAATCCTCACCCCCAGCTGTTAACAACAGTTTTTAATATCCAAAGATTGGTTTTAAAAATGTTTTAAAGTTGGTGGTTTTCTTAGAATGTATATATAGCCTACTAAGTTATTGTCTTTAAAGAAAAACATCTATTTGGATTTGCTTTTTCATTCATCCATCTTTTTATTTTTTCTTTTTAACATTTATTGAATGACAGATTCCATGCTGTGAAAACTCACAGCCCCTACTCCCAGGAATTCAGAGTTAACCGAGGAGATAGATATATTTCATTATAATTCAGTCTAATAAGTTTAGCGATTGACAGTACTTGAAGGAATTAGTGAGAAAATTTCATTATTTTGTTTAATCAGACTTTTTATCATTATCTTTTGGGAAAGGGTACCATTCCTAAAATTAACTTCCTTTCCTCAAATTTCTCTCTGCTAGATACCTAATCCCCCCCTACCCCCATCCCCGCCTCTAGCAAAGCATGATGTTTTCCTACCTTTTGCTTTTTGGATTCCTGGAAGTATGTTACGTGGATGACACTGGTTTGAGTTTGGAACTTTTTAGCATTTGGAAAGATAGAGTGTGAGTTAATTTGTATATAGAATGAATGGCAGATGAGAAAACTATTGTTAGACGTGATGTTTCCTATACAGAAGATACAAACGTGATTGCTTCAGTAAAGACACTTATAGACATATTTCTAATAAAATTCAGATTTTAAAACTGCAATACAAAATAATAAGTTAAATATGTCTTTTCCCCCCTTCCCTCTAGGACTGGAAGGCTGGGAAAAGAGGCTTATTATATCTGACAGAGCTCATATTGGTAAGGAGGACATATTGCATTTATTTTTAACTATCTTTTTATCAGAAATTTGTCAAATGAAAATGTTTAGTACCTAATTTTGTCTTTTATTTTTATAATAACTTAAGTAGGAGGGATTGTAATAATGGAGTTCAAATTTAAAAACCTTGCTTTTTTCATGTTTTTCTGTTTTAACAAGGACTAGGCTGAAGTTTACCTATTTCTGAAGAAAAGGTTAGCTAAGTAAATGTATAATACAAACAGTATTTCATGAGACAACTCTAATTCTATTAAAAAATAAACTACATCAAAATACGAAGTTTTCACCTAGGCTTGGTGGCTCAGCCTGTAATCCCGTGTCTTGGGAGGCTGAGGTGAGTGGATTGCCT